TGAATTCGGGTTGGATGACAAATACAGCTCATCAAAAAAAAACCTTAATCCTACGTTCTCTTCTTCCATAACTGTTCAAAATTCATCAAACGAGTATATCATCGGCTTATATTCTCTGTTTTCATGAACATACAAAATATCTGTCATAATCTTTACTGTTTCGGAAAAAGACAAATGCTCCTCAGCTTCATCAGTCTTGACAGTTTCAGATTGCTCCCCAAAATTAGTACTTTCAACTTCAACGATCTCGGAGATTTCAGATCGCTGCATACTAGCTTGAGCATGCCATTGAAAGTCTAGCGAACAGTTTACCGCAATTCCATTATAACAGTTTTGGCAAAGCATATCACCTATTCTCACATAATCTGGTAAAGTATTGTTGGTTTGACCTTTGGAAATAACGTTTTCAGTTACCTTCCTCCAAGTTGCTGATTGCTGGGTTTGACAAAAGGTAATAATACACCTAGTCATCTTTGTTTTTAAATAAGTTTTTTGTTTTTCTGATTATTTTCTGATTATTTTTTACAGTGAAAGGCAACGCTCTTCTAAAACTAATTATGAAAAAAAAAAAAAATTTCATAGATAAAATGGTGAAACGTTGCAGTTTAAAAAAGTACTTTAAACTGTATAAATTAGTTACCCGGGCAATTGATTTACATTAGCCAATCAGACGAAAGTCCTCCTATGAAGATGTATCCCACTATATCTGGGGTTGATTAAAGCAGGGTGCAGTCATATGATTTTGACTTTTTAATTAAAGTTAGAGTAAGGATGAGTCGGAGGTTAGGATGAAGGCATATAATAAAATTGCCTCCCCGACATTTTTTGTTAATGCCCCAAGGTAGGTTTAGGCACTCGTTTCTTGTATTTTTTCATTTTTTCACTTTTTTTTGTCTTTTTTTCTTCGTCGGGCTGATCCGTGTTGATCAAAACAAACAAGCCGATTGGCCACATGTCACATGATTGCACCCTGCTTTAAACGACCCCCTATATCTTTCTAATTTTTATTTATCTGATTGGTAGATCCTGATTGGCCAGAATCGATAGTTCGAGTAGAATCTAACAAATGACCGTCAAAAAAAATTGATTTACATCGGTCAATCATACACGTTCCCGTAATACGATAGAAATGGCAACATTAGAGCTTGAATCGCTTATTAAGGAACCCGATGAAAATTCAATCGCGAATCATGTTGTCGATTTTCTCAATTCTCGCTTTAATGAGCTGGAAGATCTTGGGAAGTTGAATACAGTACTGTCCGAAGTAAAAAATAATGAACAGAAATTGAATGAAAAGGTGTGCTTACTAAATCTTTAATGTACCTTCGCCATTCTAATGAAATCTGGATTTTCTTTATAGTATATTAAAACACAGTCTAAAACTTCAGAAATACTCAAGCAATCTCTTCAAGCCTTCAACTCCACAGTCACAGAACTTGAGGATCTTCAAGCCACACGTCTAGAACTTGAAGATGTATTAACTGATTATTGTAATAACGTGACTTCTTCCAATCCATCGAATTTACAAGAAAACGTTTCAAATAATAAGACACTAATGGATGAGTTAACCATGCTGCAACAACAGATTGACAGCCTATTAAGATCAAAGCAGTATCTCAAAGTGTTAGTTGTCGCCGAAGAATTGAGGTATTTTTAGTTACCTACCTACCCCTATTAATTCTAAAAAGTTAACTCATTGTTAAGACCTACTAATTTTTGAAGTGCACGGACGAAACAGTTAATTGAAAGATCGCCTCACAAAGCCCTTAATCCATATATTCAACTTGCGAATCTTCTGCATAGCATAAAATCTAAGAGCAATGGTGCTGGCCATGTGGTCACTCATTTGGACGTGTTTTTGCAACAAAGTGTGGATGTACTTTGGGAAGACATGAAAGATAAATTGAAAAAGTTTGTTAATAATTACCTTAAATATATTTCAAATATTTCAATTAAATATTTTCAATTACCATTTTATGGAAATCTCATGATTATTTCTAATTGACATTCGGTTAGGAAATTTCAACAATCACTTGATGCGCTTAATTGGCCAACGCCAGTGAAACTTCCGAATCCACAAGTCACAACTGACAAGTTATCATCATTTAAAAAAGCATTTACTGAATTACTTTTATTACAAAGGCCGATTAATATTTCAGATGAATCAACTTCTACAAAATCTTCATCTCCTGATCAAAATGATGAACTTCCCCCTCTTTTACCCATTCAAATAATGGTCGAACCTTTGATCGTACGATTTCGTTATCATTTTGATTCGAAAAGACCTACTAGTCGCATAGAAAAGGTAAATTAAGTATATAATTCATTTAAAGCCATTTATAAATATATATGTGGCTTTGTTTATTCTATCAATTCTCAGCACGACCAGGGTGACCTCCGATTTTACAGGTCATGTGGGTGGCGCCACCAATGTTCATTATGCACAAAATGCAATGCAGGGTCAGATTCGTTTGCAACAATTGCTGGCCCACATGACCCGTAAAATCGGAGGTCGCCCTGGTCGTGTCATCAATTCTCAATGATTAAACTCCCTTCATTATATGAATTATGAGTTAATAAATGAAATAATTGTATTGTTTTTTTTTTAGCCTGAATGGTATTTCTCTCACGTTATCACCACAATAAATGATCATTCGCCATTCTTAAAAGGTGCTATACAAGCTATTGTAGATGAGGCTGGTTTTCAAGAATATCACGCAAAGGTTTGTACAATTTTCACTTTTATTCATCATTGAAACTATTAATATATTAATTATTAAATTGATAATATATATAATAGAATGATTTTATACGATGCTTGCTTGTCGCTGTAACCAAAAAGTTGACACAGAGTGTACCAACATTATTGAAATCCCCACAAATATTTTCACATACAGTTTTCGAAACTTTACAATTTGATCAAACGCTTCGCGAATTACATATGTATGTCCCACCAGGACAGAGTGAATGGAAAGGGTGCGTTGAAGTTTTTACTGGAAAAAAAGAGACTTTTAAGGCTTGGTTAAAAGTTGAAAAAGAATGTAAGTTATTTTTAATATACTTATTATTATTATTCTCTGCATAACATTTTATGTAAATTAGTTGCAGAAGCGCGTTATAATGAGATAATGCATTCGGAGGATGCATGGGAATTGATAGACGAGGATATCCCAGAAGATGACTTTAGGCCAACTAAATCTTCTGGAAAATTAACAAATCTTTTGGAGTTAATTACAAGTATGAATAAATTTATAATTATTATTTTATAATTATTTGATTTTTTATTTATAAATCTTCATATTTGAAACTAATAATAATTATTAGGTCGTTATAAATTGTTACCCATGTTTCATAATCGTATTCGTTTTTTTGCTGATATTCAAGCAGAGTTGTTAATGGCATACGCTCAAAGAATTGATTCTTCAGTGGATGCATTTGAAAAAAGTTTGAGTTACTCTTTTGTAAGATCTGTTCCAAATTCTGCAAATTCGGATGGAAAATCACATACTGGAATTGAAGATTTAAAAAGATTATGTCGATGGCTTAATAGTGCCGGCTTTGTTAGTCGAACAATTAAAGAATGGGGTGAAGATGCTGTAAGAAATTTTTAAGGATTTTTTTTTTTTCTTATGTTCGTAATTCATGTCTTAATTCATTTGATGAATTTGAAATCACAATATAGTTTTTCCTTGAACTATGGCATGAAGTCACTTTACGTGCATCTCGTAATACCAGTACTTCACCCTTGCCATCACCTACCTCATCCGAAAGTTCTGATCAACTACAAGAGACATCATCTGTGTATCAAGAAGAGCAGATTACCGTTGACGAGGGAACAGTTTTTGATGATCCCGCAGGATCATTTGATAGTTCTTGTGAAAAAATTCAATCATTAATAATAAAAAATGTATCCAAAGGATTCTTTAATGGATTGAAAGCATATTGCAGAAAGTAAGCTATCTTCGAGATTTTAAGTTACTGAAAATGAATCGTCTTCATTAATTGAGAATTGTTGTTATTCAGAAATACTTGGTCACGATCTGACATTTACAACATTGATCCTACTATAATATCCCACCAACCATTGTGCAAACAACCAGAGACAACTGCAACTTCAAAAGATAATAACGTCAATATAGAAATTGAATTATCACCGGAGCTTTATACACCATTGTCAGATTTGGCACATTCTCTCACGTTTCTATCCAACCACTTGCCTATAAGAGTATTTAAATCTATTTTCAAAGAAATATCTAAAGAAATAGAGGATTATTTGTGGAATCGAGTATTAATGAGAAATCAGTTTTCTGAGATGGGTGGCAGGCAATTTGAAGTAGATATGATTAAAGGATTATTCACAGTTGGAAAAAGATGGGTTCAGAAACCAGAAAATTATTTTAGGAGGTATGAAGTCGTAGATTAATTCTAGTAAACATGATTAAAGAAATTATCATTTTTATTTTTATGTATTCTAAGCTATTTTGTCTGGTTTATTATTTTTTTTCCACCATTAGATTAAAAGACGTTTGCGTTCTTCTTACTATACCTTCGTCTCATCAGACGACATCCGCTGCTAAACAAAATAACTCTGCTCAACAAAAAACACTGAGCCAAATTATGCGTGTTTTATTTGATAATGATTTAGAAATTACCGAAGTACATAAAGTGCTTGAAAATTTGAGTATTTATCATCTATCACCAGAAGAGGCTAGAGATGTTGTAAGAAGAAGGGTTGAATGTTGGAGATAATTGATTAATTTTAATTCCTACATATAGTGTCTAAAAGTAAATAGTATATGTGTGTATATATGTATTAATATTTTTAGTTTATAATGTGTGGCGCGCGTTGTCTATGATCGAAAGATATGTTTCGCTACAAGAGTGGTGATTGTATACTTATATTAAAATTTTTATTGCACGATTGATAATTTCTTATAAATTTCTTCCGGTTATGATGCTTTTTATTTTTTAATATTTTAATGCACGCTCAACAAAAATAAGTTCTAAACTTCTATTTTTATTGGCAAATTTGCAATTTATAATGCTATAGGCTTTAAAGAATCTCGAATTAAAACCAGCACCTGAAAGAACATTACGTTAAGGATTCTACCGATAAATTTCTTCTTCAAAGAACTTTTATATATAGTTTGCTACTTTGAGAATCTGGTTTCTAGATCAAGTTTTTATAAATAAAAATTTAATTACATACAATATATTAATACATTAAGTAAGCTTTATTCGATGAATCTGAGTTTGTATTAAAATATTTGTCAAAAAATTCATTTGCATCTAGTCGCATTTTTTTTTTTTTTTTTTTAATCTTCAAGGTGAGGCCACATCTAGTCGCAGTTTATAACATACATCTAACACCATTTTATTCAACATTTTATCTATATACAGTATATACAGTATTATAAGATTATTATAAAATAAGGGTGTTAAGTTGTTACACTCCCAAGTGGTATGTTGGCAGGTTGGGGTTCAAAACCTACTAAAGACGAAATTTTGAATATTTGGTTTGTATGACAGTTATTGTTTTTTGTTGATTGGTTGAAACAGAATCTCTGTAACTTTGGTAGTATCAACAAGATTGGAAGATTATAGGGCATTTGTGCAATATATAAGTTACACAAAAGCATGCAAGCCAGCATTGGGCAGTGCAAATCTGAGATAAGTTTTTGTAATCATATTAATCCAAGGAATTGAAAAGATGAACATCTGCTTGGCAAGATCCGAGTAGAAAAGTAGCACAGAACTTTGATAATGGTGTTACTGGAATAGGCTTTACCCAAGGTTGGTTAACTGAATATGACAAGAGCACCTGGCAAGTTGTTCTTCTAATCAGGTTGTTAACATCAATTGAAGAAAAAGAATCAGCAAATATCATAGGACTAATGTTTTTTCTGAGTCATCTGAATTAGTAGTTTGAAAAAACCAGTTAAGGAGTACTGAAAAAAAAGGTACTGAGTTGTCTTAAAGAGGAAATACTAAGGTTTGAGTAAATTTTACAAGGGTTGAGTAGATAATAATAGTGGTTTTAGCTTGCAAATATTTGTTTTCGAACTTAGTATAAGTTACTAAAATAGACTAAATAATACAATAATAGTAGGTACCAGATTGTTTTAGCAAGTAATGCATTTAAGAATGTATCAGAAATGGTCATTCTATAGGTAAGACACAATGATTTTGAAATTTGAACTAATTAATATATCATATGTTCTAGGTGAGGTTAGATTGGATTGATATAGGAATTTCAAATCAGAGAGTTTAATTAAATAATTCAAATAATAGAAGGTTATAGATATGACATCTAGTGTAGAACCTAATAGTAGACAAATTACTTAAATTAGGTATTTAAAAGACACAAGTATAGTTAGAATATATTTTTGTCAGGGTTTGGGTCCCATAGTTTAACGGTTAAGCTCCCAAACCCCACAGACTAAGTCAACGGTTCGAGTCGGGCTAGAAGCAAATTTTAATAAAAAATTTGCTTCTGTAATCTACGGGGGCCATTAAATCGAATGCGAAGCCTTGTGGAAAGTCCAAGTGCAGTACGAAACCAGAATAAGAAGTTCCCGGAAGGAGACCAGGTTATGGAGCATAGGCATTATGTGTAGTGCGATACCACAAAAGGTTAGGTTACATGAAGATCGTGCAAATTAGTCCTTCGGTTGGGGTGACCTGGAGGCTGTACCAACATCACTGCATCCAACTTGTGGGGTACTTTCTTGGAAGAGTGATACGATAGTAGCTAAAACTGGAGTAGTGAGAGAAGCGGTGATACATAACTATAGGCTGTGGTAAAGGATCATATCTTAACTGGAATTGAAAGCACCTCTGGCTTTGCGAAACAACTAATTTAGGAAAGTTACTTGGTGTAGAGGGTGTAACCTGTCCCTATACAACTAAAGAAACCAAATCGGGCTCTGGTCACATCTATATGGAAGTCTATGACGAAAAGAGTTAAGAATTTACCAGTATGAATACTATATAGAGATGTGATCCGGATATCAAAACCTCATCCGAGTACCCAAATATATTTGAAATCGGATACCCAGGTGAACTCAGGTTATTTATTAAAAAATAAAATTTATATTATAAAATTAGCAACTAAGCAACAAGCATCTTTATTTATCTAAAAAAT